AATTATGAGAAATATAGACTTCTTAGGTTTTCGCGATTGTTACACATTAGAAATGAGGCCATTTTTTTCCAGATCTAAATCGCATATATTTGTTTTTTCAAACAAATCACCGTTTCGGGCAATTTACTTAATGGTACCAATGTCAACGCTGACATTGAAAAAACAAATATAGGTACGCTCATTGACTTACAATTATATGGACGTCGGGTCCGCGCTAAAAAGTGTCCGCACTTGTAAGGCGCTAAAATCGCATACAGAGCGCGACACTCCGCTTTAGTCTTCATTTGTTCTACTGACAGCGCGATACTGCGATGACATTACAATTTAAATTTCGAATAGGTTGACTTGGGACATTTTTTTCGTGGTTTTTGTATTAGACCCGTCGTCCATTTATTTGTAAGTCAATGGGTACGCTATTTAAATAAAAAAATAATCATTTCATTTCCAATATAGGTACTTAATTTCTTTACATTGTTTTAATGATTTACGAATATTTTAGCGATCCCCTCATTCCATGTTAATAAAAATATATAATCATATCCTTCATTATATTAAAGATTTAGATAAAAATATGGTCTTCGAAAAACAATTGAAGGATTTCCTTAATAAAAAAAATATTTTTTGATGACAAAAGTATTTGATTAATTAATTAATTTAATAATTACACGCAAAATAGGTGCCTTGTCGTCGAGTTGCGGACACCAGCCCGTTACACCAAGTACCAAGTAATTTAATAATTATTTGTCTCTACTTCTAATTAAAATTATAATAAGATATAAATGTACCTACATATACATATAATAATTATTACAGAAATAACGATGCAATATCTATGTCAATTGATTAATTATTTAAGTTTTGAAATGTTTCTATATAATTAGCTTAATTTTTTGAAAAGTTCCTATACAATTAGTTTAATTTGCTACGCCCTTACAGGGTATCATTAAGCTTATTAAACTATATATACATGTGAATTGCATGTAAATGAATATGAATTAGACGGAGGCATTATTTTAACTCTATGTACGAGTATGTGTATTATTTAAAGCCTAACTATATATACTTGGCTAATTACCTATTATAAAAGTCAATATAGAATGGTATAACTTACATCTCTGAGCATTTTCTCTGCAGCTTCCGCGTCCCATTGTCTCGCTGCAAGAAACAATGATGTGATGCATTACTTCATTATATTACATAGCTGATAAGCGCAGCCTCAGACATGCGACGGTCTCCTGCGACACAATTATGAGTCACAGTTACAGTCGCTAATAGGTGCCTATTGGTTTACGAGCGCACTCACAGATATAATCGGTATTTATGGCACTGATAATGGCGAAACGTTAGGTATTCTAATTATCACTGACACCTGATAAAGGGAACCAACCTCCTACTATTCGAACGGCAGTGTCTCAAGCACTATCTACTTTTAAACATTAAGGTTTTCTGTGGCTGATTGGAAGGCGATCTCGGGACGCAGGCTTTACGAAGTAGCTTGTGTGATCTCTTCTGTGTTTTGTGGATGTTTGATATTGCGCAATTCAATTATTTATTCCTCAAATTGATTATTTTCTTTGTCGAATTGTTGTTTTTGTTTAAATCTTTTATGTTTTCATTTGAATTTAGATTTTTTTGTACCATACTTATACTTCACGCCTTTTTCACATCGGGGTAAGCAGAGACAGCAGTCTTACACTTGCTACGGTCCTAACACATCTCTTCCGCCTCATCAACACGCATGAGTGCTTTTATACATGATATTCATACATACATTTATACCGAGGTTAATGTCGGTGGCATCAGTGATGCTATTGTATTAATTAATGACGACCTTCATCGCGTCTGGGTTTGGTCCCAAAAGTTTGGTATCAATGTCAATCCTTCCAAGTGTCAAGGCATCATCCTTGGAAGCTGACGCCTTTTTTCGTCTTGTGATATGTCTCGTGTGCCACCAATAATGTTTGAGAACGTAGTGATTCCTCTGTCAAAGCAGACAAAGAACCTGGGGCTTATTATTGACACAGGCCTTACGTGGGATCCCCAGGTGTCTGACGTTTGTCGTAGGGTTACAGACACACTAAGAGCTCTATACAGGTTTAAGAACTTTCTTCCCATTAAAACCAAAACTCTCCTTGTTCAAGCTCTAGTATTGCCTGTGATTGATTATGCTGACGTGTGTTACAGTAACATCTCTTAAGTCTCTTTGAACAAATTAGATCGTTTGCTTAACAACTGCATTAGGTTTATTTTTGGTTTCCGGAAGTATCTCTCCGGAGACCACATCTCTGCTTTTCGTCGTCAATTAAATTGGCTTCCCATCCGTGAACGCAGGTCCTTAAGAATTTTAACCACTCTTTTCTCCATCTTGTTCGACCCGGTTGCATCCGATTATCTTAAATGTTCATTACAATTTCAAACAGCTCGGCCGGAATGCGAATTTCGATCTTTCCGTAGCCTTAAGCTCTCTATTCCTTCTCACCGCACAGATTTTATGTCCAATTCTTTTACCCTTCATGCCATCCGTCTTTGGAACGCTCCCGCTCCATGCAAGACAAGCTCAGATGAAACTATCTTTCAGGCGCATGTTGCGCAAGCATCTGTTTGACAATTGTAAAATCAAGACTCTGTTTAATGTTGCTTTGGGTACATATATATTATATTATATATTATTATAATATATATGTAGGTTTATTATATATGTATAATACGTATGTTTATATTATGTTATTTATTTATATCATACAAATTATCGATTAGCTTTCTAGTATATTGTTCTTCTTATTTAAGTGTAGCACCAACCTATTTTGTTTTTTTTTCTGTTTGGCCCAATGGTTGACTGGTAGAGCATGCCTTATGCCATTAAGTCCGCCATTTGTACTTCAGGGTTTTGTACAATAAAGCTTAAATAAATAAAATACATGCTTGTCTGTTAAGGATACACTTGACTTGGCTCTTCTTTAGTATGGCCTCAATTTGGTCATGGTAAGTTCGCCTTGGTCGGCCCTTACCAACTTGCCCACTCACACTCGCCTTATAAAATTTGATTCGTCAATCTTCTTTCATTCATTTTCTCTACATGTCCCTTTCTCTATTGTCACTACATCTTCTTCCACGACGCAACGCTCTCTTATATTTTCCGTATATTTTATCCATCAGTGTGATTCCAATTATACTTATCAAAGCTCTCATTTCTACTGCATTATTTCTAGTTTCGTGCTTTTTCTGCCAAACCCAACGTTCACTGCTATACCGGCTGCCCATGAAATACCTAAATATGTTATTAATATTTTGTTTGTAGTGTTCAAATTTATGACCGTGGCAGAATTACAGCGATTTTCTTATTTTATTATATATAATTTGTATAGTCCTCAGATGCTGGGTCATGAACTCTTTTGACTAGCTTTTTTATTTTAACTTAAATCTATAATTTACGTATTTTGCATGTCAAATAAAGACGATTTTATTTTATGTTATTTATTTATGGCAAACATTTTAGTGTTACAATTATCGGTGATTCCTAGCTACAATTGTGTTGATTGAATTAGAGCCCGGAGTTATTAAAAATAATAATATATAATGATATCGCGTGAATTAAAAATTTCAAGGCGACGACCATGACTTAAGTCCGATGCTCGCGCGCATGTTGTATTATTTCATACGCATTGTTCAAACCCGTATTTAAATCGTCCTTTAAAACTAGTTTTCTCAGACTCGCGAAAGGTATCAAGTTGCGCCCTTCGTGTAATAAGGCCACATCAGAAAAAGTCACCTTTTCAGGAGAGATGTTCAAAGATTCTACGAACTTATTATATGAATTATAGGAGAATTATAAAATTTCATATTTATATAATTTCAAAGTTAAAGTCTAAGTCAAATTATCATTATTTCATAGGCAAGAAAATTACACTTGAAATCGTCATACTGATTAAACTCTACCGACCATTCGTAAGGCCGATTCCCCAGAGAAGAATGAGCAAGAAACTCTAGGGGTTGCTCTTTGTAAATATGCATTTGAATACATTTATCATTACAATATTTAAAGAAAACATCTTAGATCGAGACTAGGTAGTCTCGATCTAAGATGTTTTCTTTAAATATTGTAATTACAGGTGTAAGAGCTAAACGGGTCACTACCACGGACTTTTCTCATTCAAGACGCAGAAGTTGTATTTATGTTTCACTATTAAACCTTGTAAATGGTAAATTTTGAATATCGATTGGAATCTTATAGCTTTAATTTGTTTCCTTGTGACAGTCATGTGATAAAAACGCTTTTGACGTACGTTCACATGTGGCTTTATTACATTATAATGGTGTGAAATTAACGAATGAAGAAAATTAAAATACAGGCAGAAGAGTATAATAGCTAGTTTTTATTACCTCTCAGCCATCGCAATAGAAAATGATCGTTGTGCTCTGGTTTCAAGATATCTTTCACATTCCTCCGGAACTGGAACAATACAAGTACAACGTTAATACCACAGAACAATAAACACTATAGAAGTGGTTAGTTAGCGTCTGATGCGTGCCAACTGTAGGTCTCTAAAGACCTACTTGAGATCAGTCCGCCATTATCGCTTTGTATGGTATGGTTGTGTCAATCTTTATTTCTTTTTAGCATTTTTCTGTGTGAGAAACATTGACTTACAAATAAATGGACGGGTCTAATACAAAAACCACGAAAAAAATGTCCCAAGTCAAATTATTCGAAATTTAAATTGTAATGTCATCGCAGTATCGCGCTGTCAGTCGAACAAATGAAGACTAAAGCGGAGTTTGGCGCTCTGTATACGATTTTAGCGCCTTACAAGTGCGGACACTTTTTAACGCGGACCCGACGTCCATATAATTGTAAGTCAATGGTGAGAGATATTGAATGTTATTGTGACAGACAGTGACATTAGAAACAGAACAGGAGACACCTGGTACGCAATAGTTTGGTTAATATTCATTTAACATCCTTGTAACGGACTGTATTTATGGGGTTCGGGTGCTATTGAAGAGGGAGCAAGACCAAAGGAAATTACTTACAATTTATTGTGAAATGTACTTATAGTGAATAACAATATACAGTTACTAAGAAAACAGAAACAATAGTGACAAAAGAATAGAAAGAAAAAGGCGCCAACAACAAGTACATTTGAATTTCGAATTTCAATGTAAAACTAAACTGTTAAAAAGACTATACAAAACATTGACCTACCAACAAATGGACGTCGGGTCTAATACAAAAACCACAAAAAAAATGTCCGAATTTAACCTATACAAACGTAGTGACATGTAACGAAATATAAAAAAACTAAAACATTTAATTTAAGTTGTAACGTCATTGTAGTACTGCCTAATTTAGCTTGCAACAATTTAAAGGGCCCAAACACACCATATTCAGCTTATATTGGAAGCTTAACAAAATGCACTATATTTAGCTTCGACTGAAAGTTACTAGAACACAACAGTAATGGAGCAGCCTTTATTGTAAATATCAATTAATTTTTATGTATATTATTATGTCAAATTTTGTACAAATTCACTTCAAGAAATAATAAAGAGTTGGGCAGATACATACATACAAATATTACAAATGTGAAAATAAGCGTGTACTATAAGAAATGTACCGATATTCCAACTAAACGTAAACTTAAATATCCGTAATTCCGAAAACCGATTTATAATAAAACACAGTTACGTTTTCAAGTAATTTTGATGCTTCTAGCAAAGCCAAAATTAACTTTTGTTTTGTAATATTCCTAAAAAAATACATTTGACATTGTGAAAATTCGAGCTAACGTTATTTTGGGCAAATGTATTTTGTGACTAAAGGTAATCCCTAGTCGTAAAACGAGTACAACAATATTTTGTTAGTTATTGCTAACGTTTAATAAAAAGTCATTCTAAAAAATAAGATTAAAATCAAGACGACTCTATAGTTTCTTTGTTCCAAATATTTCAATCGCTTATGGTTCAAATAATTCAAAATGACCAAGAAGTTTATATAAGCTTCTTGAAATTGACGTAATGTTAATATAAAAATAATTAATATCGTTTTTAAATGAATTTATTTATATTTAGTTTTTGAATAAATAAATTTTTATTATTAAAAAATGATACAAAAGAATATTTCTCTCTGTACCATGTATAATTTACATTATTAACAGTATCAAAAACATTGTATAATATCATTGATCAAAAATGTCCCAGGGATCTTTCGTGCAACCTAGAAAACCTTATTTTGACTAAACTGCGCAGAGTGCTACATCATCATTTCAGCCAAAAGACGTCCATTGCTGAACGAAGTTAGAATAAAACGTACGATTTCCACAACCGTTGCCTAGTAACCGCATTGACAAATCAGTGTTTTGTAATCAATCATTCTTTGGTGTGCATTTTGGATTTGCAATCGGCTTATTTACTTAATTTTTGTTTCATAAAGGCTTAGTACTTCGGCGTACTACTTCTTCGTACCGAAATCATGGGCGAAGTCGATAATATCTCGACCTTTAGTGCCGACGGCGGTCAGGATACCGTGGGCCTGCCGCGAATTGTTATGGTCACCGAGGGCGAAGACACCTCAGCTTCGTCGGCCTCGTCCACTAGTTCTTCCGAAGATAATTGGGCAGACCTCATCAAATCTACTGAAATACCTCCAGAATACTGGCATATACAAAAACTCGTAAAGTATATGAAAGCTGGTAATCAAACAGCAACGATGGTAGCTCTATCGTGTTTGAAAGATCACGATCTTACTATAGAGGTAAATCAAAGAGCTATTCAAGAAATTGGTGGACTGGAACTGCTGGTCAATTTGCTAGAAACCAGAGACTTGTGCTGTATTCTAGGAGCATTAGCTGTACTGAAGGACATAACAGCGAATATCGAGATAAGAAAAAAAGTAACAGATCTTGGAGCCATCCCACTTATGGTCGGTTTACTATCTGATCCTGCTCGAGATGTGCAAATTCTTGCAGCGGAAACTATAGCCAATTTAGGGAGGATCCGAAAAAGCAGGAAATTTTGTAGAAAATTTGGTGGTATACCAAAACTTATCGATTTACTCGATGTGAAAGAAAAGTAAGTATTTCTCTATAACGGATTTCTTGTAATTAACTGTGTATTTGTAGATCTCGTGAAACCATTTGCTTATTGTCAGATATCTAGTAACGGAGCGAGCAGAATTGAGTCTTGACGAACAGCGATATTTAGATATTGCTCGGGCTGGGGCAAAGGCTCTCTGGTCGATGTCTGCATCCCAAAGAAATCGTGAGAACATGAGGAAATATGGCATGGTTCCTTTGATAGCCAGGACCTTAAAAACTATTCATCTAGATGTGGCTATCCCAGCTATAGGATTACTACAAATGTGTGCGAACGAAACTTCTTTTCAATTAGCAATCCAAACTGAGAAGATGGTGGACGATTTGATAAAGCATTTGGCCAACGAAGACAAAGATTTAAAGGTTAGTTATGCATCGAAATTAATATCTAAATTAAAAAGGGAGTAGTTGGTACTTGTTGTAGAACTAGGTATTCGCAATCCAACATATAATTTTATTGATACACTAATAAATTACGTAGTCGTAGAAATAATGACATGAGACATTGCATTATAGACGTATTGCAGTCTTGCGATTTATAAATGTGCCAGTGATTCCGTGACCAGAAGCATGATCAGTTCTGCTGGAGGCCTAGAAATATTGGTGGAGGCTGCTCAGGATTTCACTAACAGATCGAACAAACCTCTTATGGCAGCTGTAACTGGAGCATTGTGGAAATGTGCTGATAGCGACGCCAGCATTAAAAAACTTGATATTCTTGGAGCTGTTCCTATATTGGTAAAACTCTTGGATGATGAAAACGATGGAGTGCTAACAAACGTAGCTGGAGCACTCGCAGAATGTGCCAAATATCCTCCTAACCGTGACAAAATCCGGGCTGCTGGTGGTATCCCGATGCTTAGTAAGTAATGTTGTGTGGTTTGGCATAATACCTTTAAATTAGCATACTAATATAGGTTTTTTATATAATTTATTGCAGTTCAACATCTTAATAACACCCATAAGCCATTATTAGAGAATGTTCCACTAGTTCTGATGGAATGTGCTAAAGAGGAACGATGCATGAGTCAGATAGATGAGCTGGACGGTGTCAGACTGATTTGGTCGTTGCTTAAAAATGACTCTAAAAAAGTACAAACGAACGCTGCTTTAGCGTTGAGCCCTTGTGTCCAGAATGCAACCGATTCTGGAGAAATGGTGAGGTCATTCGTTGGTGCTTTGGAGTTGACAGTTGATCTTTTGGACTCAGAGGATCACAATGTCCTAGCTGCAATTTGTGCAGCCATAGCGACTATTGCTAGAGATCACGAGAATTTGGCAGTCATATCGGACCATGGCGTCGTGGCGAAACTAGCTAAACTTGGTACGTACTATTCATTTTTTACAAATTTACAAGTCACGCACAAAAACATGGACGTAATAGTTGCGATCACGTGAATTAAACACGTGTCTGAGAACAATCGTAAAGAAGCTATTACGTCATATTGCTATTTAAAAAAAAGATTTGGTCTATAAATGGTTCTTTATAGTAAATCGCCTGGTTTTTCTGTCACTAAAATAACCGGTTTGACGTTCGCAGTGAGCACCACAGACGACCATCTGAGGGCGAATTTGGGTGTTGCTATTGCGTATTGCTGCGATTGGGCCCAGAACCGTCAAGAGTTCGGCAAAAGAGGGGCCATCACGCCTCTGGTGAACTACATGACGTCACGAGACCCTAATGTCCACCGAGCTACGGCCTTGGCCCTCTACCATTTATCATTTTACTCCATTAATTGCGTGACCATGCATGCCGTAAGTGGAAACAATAGTTGCTGTTCACCGATTGCTCTGTACCATAAATTAGCATTCTAGATCATTGACGTAGGTAACGCGGATACCTAATAACATCCTGTATTGTAGAAACTTAACAAGTCTCAGCCTGCAATATAATTTCCTACGCTGCTTACACGTATTAATCTTTGAATACATTCATATAGGATTACTTCACTTCATTCGCGATTTACAATAGCTTGTGGTATGTGGAAATAATATTGAAAGTTCAGACGTCGAGTTTGAATGCATACAAAAATATTGTATTATTTCGTTTGGCATTTATAAATGGGAAGTGTCAGATGAGGCATTGTGGTCACAGCTCAACGATCATTATCATTGTGTTGTGACTTCTACATACATAACAAACCATCTTGTTTTGGGATTGAAAACAAATCTTATTTTGACGGCCTCCGTGATCGAGTGGTTTGTACACCGGTTTTCATGGTGTTGCCATCTCTGAGGGCCCGGGTTCGATCTCTATGTAGAAATAAATACTTTTATATATTGTATCTCCTCTCTCGTGTTGGTGGTACCGTCGTTATTTCCGATTTCCATAAGTGCTTTATTTACTTACTTTGGGATCAGAGCAACGTATGTAATGTTCTCTACGTAATAGTATCTAATAATTGACAGCATACTGTTTACAAAGCAGTTTTATTTGTATTCCAACTTGATTTTGTATTCCGACAACGTACTAATATCAATTCTTGTACAGACATAAACGTTACAGTGAAATGTAAATAGAAATAATTATTGTAGTACCTTATGTAGAGTCAAGGAAATATTACGGATGTGTATTATTGATTTTATCAGGTAGTACGTTCCTCACGCTATTCCCATAGAGTTCAAATTCAATCAGTTTAAAAAGCTATCAAAATTATTAATTAGCTAATTTGAATAGCTTAACCTGTAGCTAAACGGTTGGACTCTAGATTCATTGATTTTTTACGTTAGACCTTGACCTTCGTGCAGAATATTTGAATTGCATTTGCTTTCCAGGCTGGTGTTGTTCAGTTTCTCCTGGAGACAATAGGTTCAAAGGATCCAGTGCTGCAGGAGGCGTCAGCCGGGTGCCTCTGCAACATTCGCAAGCTGGCACTCGCGACTGAGAAGATCAAGTTGAAACAATGAATTTTAGTTTAAATACATTATTATAATTTACAGTATTGTTTTATTGCATACATAATTCGTCTATTGTTTGATTCATAATTAGACGTCCAAATGTAAACAAAGGGGATAGCAGAGCAAAAATACATTTTAAATGGTAGTTTCCTATTTTTGACGATAATAAACGTATAGAAAATCATATTATGACATACTCCGACATCTAATTCGATAATCCAATTGACTATGTACGTATTCTACTAAAAAGTGGGCGCGAAAGTTTACTAAATTACAAGATGTGACTTGTTTTAACGATAAGTACTTATTTTTCTTAAAAATAAATCTTGAAGAATGCACAGTTACCTACGTCTCGTAAGGAATTAATCCTTGTATTGACCCTTTCGATCGGCATCATAAAAATACATGTTTTTTTATGAACAGATCAATCAAAAAAAACCTAAACAAATAATACGTTATTTCGTTTATTTTCCACTATTGTACAGCCGTACAATGATGATTATGATGAGGCGTGGGAAAAATATTCCCGCTTCCTCCTACAGGACAGGGAATAACCCGCTTTTTTTTCACATTTGGTCACATTCGGTTCCCAGATGAGATAAACAATTGGAAAAGTCAGAATGCAGTATTCTTACTTTTAAAAATAATATATTTTCAACCGACTTGAAAAAGGAGGATGTTCTCAATTCGACTGTTTCTTTGTGTGTATATTACGCGATTACTCCGGCATTTGAGAAGCGATTTTGATGATTCTTTTTTTGTTCGAAAGATGGCACCTCAGTATTGGGCCCATTTATATTTGAAGAAAATATTCCACCTCTAAGGGTTGCAAACTGGGGATGAATCTGGTTCCACGCACTTTCCCGTAACCGATGTCAATAAAACTTGGCAAATAGATGTAATTTCACGAACTTTTAAAAATAAATAAAATAAAATAAAATATCTTTATTTTCATAGATTCCAGGGTCCATAGATTGTTAGTAAACAGAAAAACCTTAATAACTATGTTATTAACCGAGGTGCACGAGTAGCGTGCAGCTCGTTGAACCTGCCGAGCACTGCACCATCCAGCCTTCCTTCAACTACCTGTAAAAGCTTCCCCTCACTCTTTGAATTAGAGAAGCAACTTTTTTACGCATAAGCGCAAAAAAGTCGTCTGTGTGCGCATCGGCAAACATGCCCGAAGCACTGCAGTGTCGAGGAAGCCCCACCATCACCCGGAACAGGTTGTTGTACAATATGCGCAGGGCGCTGTATAATTTTTGGGAATAACTAGTCTACAGACTGCTGGTGTAAAAAAACTTTTGAGTTCGTGTTTTTTTTATGAAAAAAGTTATAATTATTAATTCTTTAAATAGGCTTCGTTCTCAAACTCGTAGAGGTAATCGTATCATTCACCGTAAATTTGTGTGGTAAATTTCGTATTAAATTTCCCTTTTTTTTTGTAATAGACAATGACGGGATGAACAAGTCTTGAGCGCGGTTGTAAGCGACACGCCTGTTCATAATATACTTCCGAACACATAATCCGAGTCACTTCGCATTTTCGTCGTAAAGGGCAAGAATTCAAAAATAGTGTTATCATCGGAGAAAAGTTTTCCCCCGGTTTTGCAAATCCAAATTCCCAACCAGGACTTATGGAAAAGACGTTTAGTAGACTAGTTTCAAAATTGCATAATAGTTTTTGATTAATCAAACATCGTTTAAGCTTAGGGCACTTAATACTGAAAATGCGTGGCGGTTCGAATTTTGTGCCCGGAAGTGTAGTTGTAGAGTCGCTGAGAGCTTTAAATCGCAAAAATCTGAGGTGCACTTTAACCCAGAGATATAATTTGACAAGTCCCATGTGTCTGTAATTTCACCAGCTCCCTTAACTTTCAACACCGGAACTTGGCGGCAGAAATAGGTAAGGTGATAGTACTTTCTCTTTGACAAGGAGCTCTACAAAATTCCGAAAAACTCAGGGTTGCGTGCCCGAGTTCAAACAAACCATTAGGCTATTACGGCGAAAATTACGGCACATATCGTAAAGTTTAATGAGTTAGATATTTACTCTACGTGTAAAACAGATATATTATTATGTTTATACATAAAAAACTCAACCTATACCCACACAACACAACCTATTGTATATATTATGTTATCATAAGCAGGGATCCGGAATAGGTTGAGTTTTTTTACCTAAACTTCGAGAAAATAGAGACTGCCTTACGACAATATTTTTAAGTCCTGGACCTGTCCGGGATTCGGGAAATCACTTAAGTACATTAAAAATTGACGTAATTGGGGACAAACAGGTGCACTATATTTATCTTAACTTTGCGATACAGTGGGTCGGATCAGCGGTATATGTCCGCAGACATTAGTTTTTTATGGACATTATTTTCTCTAAAAAAATGCCAATCGAGAGATCCTATTGTCCTAATTAAATATTGTCATATCACATTTTGCCATAAATCTAACAGTTTAGTAGGACAAAAATAAAATGTGTATTTTTTGTATGGGACTATACCTTTAGTGCGCCTTCGTTGCAAAGTCTTAGTCGATTCAGTCTTGGGATCACTACAGACGTATTATTAGACCTATCTTCTAAAGATTTGCATACTAAACGCGCGCTTAAACCTGCCTATTCACTACTTGTGCACGTCAGTAAATGTGCAATATAAGTAGTGAACAGGCAGGTTTGGGCGCGCGTTTAGTGTGTAAATCTATAGAAGATAGATCTAATAATACGTCTGCAGTGATTCCAAGACTGGCTCGACTAAGACTTTGTAACGATGGGGCATACGATTATTTTTTGTATTCAACCAATAATCGTATAGATGAGCGATTTTTACACATTTTCTGACACCTATAAGTAGTGAATAGACAGGTTTGGGCGCACATTTAGTGTGCAAACCTATAGAAGTTAGGTCTAATAATACGTCTGTAGTGATTCCAAGACTGGATCGACTAAGAATTTGTAACGATGGGGCACTAAAGGTATGGCCCATACAAAAAATACACATTTTATTTTTGTCCTACTAAACTGTTAGATTTATGGCAAAATGTGATATGACAATATTTAATTAGGACAATAGGATCTCTCGATTGACATTTTTTTTAGAGAGGTATCGTGAAAAAAAGTTTAATGTCCGCAATATCGCAGACCCGACCCACTGTGCGTCGCTCAGTTAAGATAAATATAATGTACAGGCTCAAGAGCACGCCAAGCTTTTTACTTATGACTTAAATCCAACTCTATATCACTTACGATAAGAACGGTCCAAAGTACAAAGTGTCAAGCTTGATGTGCTCTTGACTGTACCTGCCTGTCCCCAATAACGTCAATTTTTTATGTTCTCTTAAGTGATTTCCGAATCCCGTAATGGTCCAGAACCTAAAAAATATTGTCGTAAGGCAGTCTTCATTTTCTGTCTATGTTCCTTGAAGTTTAGGTAAAAAAAACTCTACCTATTCTGATCCCTGATCATAAGATACGAAAACTAGGCAACAATATAATACTATCTTAGACTTAGATGAAAGATTATAGTTAAAACGTATTTGTAAACGACAAAGTATCAACGTATTTACCGGTTAACGACTGTTATCAATCGGTACATAATGGAGTTGACATTGAAACCATCGTAATTTGAAATCTAGCCAACCGTGTTCTATATCATGCTTGGTGTACTGTAATGATATAAAGGGTAATTTTTAAAACATCAGATTACAGATACAAAAATGAATGGATTTAAATAGATCGCTCTAAACGGTAATAACTCTGTGCAGGACGGGGGTGGAGTCATCGCGAAGGAAGAATGCACGTTTGAATTTATTCTACCAAACACAGGTTTAAAAAGTGACAACAAAAAAACTTAAAAGTTTATTTTTGGTAAATTTATTATGTTTTGAAAAAAGTTCTTGAACAAAGGTTGTTGTTTACAATGTTAATAATATAGTCCACTAGGTAGTGAGTAATTTAAAAAGAATCCTGTATATTTACGACTTGGAATATAATTATTATTTATACATAATAATATTGTCAATGAAAACTAATATTACAAATGCGAAAGTAATTCTGTTTGTTACGTTTTCACGTCTTTTTTTTTTTTACAACGCTGAACCAAATTTGATGTGGTATAGGTAGATGGGACCCAGGAGAACGACATAGCGTCGCCTTACTTTTTCAAACTCGTATCTTAAAGCACAAACTTAGTGAAAAGTAAAAAATGGATTGTATATACAAATTTTGCAGGCTGATTTCACATCAAATTTCCTTCATATTCACTCACTGGCTTTTACCTATTCATAAAGTAATGCATCCAAATTTATATCCTTGATAAGAAATTTAAAACAAATATTAAGTTTTGCCACCTTCTGAATAATCACTCATACACGCACTGATAGGCTACATTTTGTCACAAAAATTAATCTTACAAGGGGTGAAATAGGGGATGAAAGTTTGAGTGGAGAACTAATACATAGGGCGCACTATAAGTTTCCGGAACTGGCCACTTTATCATGTCAGCCGGAAGACGTCCACTGCTGAACATAGGGCTCCCCCAAAGATTTCCAGACCAGCCGATAAACAATAATTAAAAAGTAGTTACAACATTTGAAAATGGAACTCTTTGGCTGTAGAATACAGTTTGTTTCATCTGACTGTCACTTGTTTTTACATTGTGGCGTCATTTTAGAAATTGGTTGTCTACATCACCATGGATTTAATTCGTGAAAATATACGTAGTAATATTTTCTACGACTTTAAGTGTAATTTAACAGCTCAGCGGAGCTTCCCTCGGCCTCAAACTGCTTTTGGCGATGAAGCGCCATACAAGACGACTATTTATAGCTGGTTTCCAGAATTCAAACGCGGTCGTGTGAATCTCAGTGAGGAATTCCGCGATGGTCGCCCATCCACTGCTGTGAACAACAAAAACATCAATGCTGTGCGCCGTATGATCAAAACAGACAGGCATGTGACATACCATGAGATTCGGGCATCTTTAGGCATAGGCATGAGTCAAATACAATCAATACTACACAAACATTTGGGTGTGAAAAAGCAGTCAAACACAATTTGACTGAGGTTCAGAAAACGGAT